AGCATAATTTTTAATTTCAAGATAGGGTCTGTTTGTTGGATTTTCAATTATCTATGGTTTTTTCTTCCTTCATTACGTGTCCCAGTATTTGCATATACAAATGTACGAGCCAAAATATACGGAGAAATGACCAGAAATATCGGTTTCTTAGTGAATCATGTATGTATTAGCGCTTGGAGATGTGCTGTGGCATCAGTGGCTTCACAAAAATGCCATTCCGATATTTCAGGAACATTATAAATAGCGCCATTTCCGTTTCGTACGTTATTAATTACTTGAGCAATCAGTCGCACGCTAGCTTCACCTTAAAATGCTACCGAAGAAATCAGTCGCGCTTAAAAAAATTGGCGCCGTTATACGGACATTGTTGCCCAAATCAAGCTAATTAAAAAGCCTTCCCGAACATTTGGGTATGCGACAGCAAACGTGGTGAATGCAGGATGTATGGATTTTTAGAAGATTTGTAGCTTCTATCGTATGTAGCGCATGTTTTCGGAAGGCACTGAAACCGGTGAATTTGGAACAGCCAAGCTCCGAGGAAAAACCAGAGCAGCCGGCATTTCCGTTCGCGAAAAGCATGAAAGTTGTGAAATTGGCTGAGGTGAAAATAGTAAAGAAGAAGGAAGTGGAGGCGAAGGGTAAGAAGAAAATTTGACACTGAAAAAAGTGTGGCAATAACTGAAAACGAAATAAGGAATGACTAGTCTGAAAATTGGGATTCAACTGAACTAAAACAACTGAATAAATAAACCGAAAATACGGCTCACAATAGAATCACCCTCCTTCCTTCTTTTTTGCTTCAGTCAAGCGCTATTCACTGGAATTTGGTACTATGCGGCAGCTCAGTTTGACTGCTGCCGGCCAAAATGCGCCGCCCGTCGGAGGTTTTATTTCATAAGCAATGCATGCATAAATAAACGCCATCAACATATGTATGCAAATGCATGTGCGTGTGCGTGTGTGTGCGTGTGTGGGGGATGCAGCCCATCGATTAAGGATACCATTTGGTCTAGTGCTGTCAGTCTTCCTGAATTTTGCAGCTATTTGTGAAGTCAGTGTGATTCCCAAACA